ACCAAGGAGATACGACATATCTCATTTGGAATGTAATTTTAACCACTCTAGTCATAATTTTATTCTATAAACATTTCAGATTAAACTTAACCGTTCTAGTAATACCCACTTTAGGTCTAGCCTTGAATCAAGAAAACAAGGAACTACTTGAACAAGGATTAACTTATTCCAAATGGACATTTTTAGTTTAGTTTTTTATTATTTTAATGATTATAGTTCTATATTTCCGATGTAAAAAAGAAGCTCATTACCACAGCAGCCGCAAAGTGCATTATAATCCTCACAGAAAACGTTGGTTATCAGTGATTCCTGAAGAATCCAGCCACGTAGAGGTGCCAGCAGTAACCCACCTTTCAAGTAGTTGCGGAAGTCTTTGTTCAACAGGAGGAACAGAGCACATCTTTATAACAGAAAAGCGAATGGGATAGCGTACCAAATCGCTTCGAGACCTTCTCCAAGAAGTAAACTAACTCAAGGGGAATATCGACGTACGTATGATACTAACCACTTGCAAATTTTCTAAAATCGCACTAATCAAAGAGTCACATTAAAAGCAATTAAAGTAAATATGGAAAATGAGAATGCTTAATGATAATTTTTTTTTTTTTAATAAGTCTCAGCAGATACTGAGCACACATAAGGCTAGTTGGCCATAACACTTTTCTTTCCACTAAATCGATCACAATACGTGATAAAGCTAGAGTGCTGACATTCACAAGAAAGACCTACAAAACAATTTTGAAAGTCAATCAACCTTCACGCGCGCAAATTAGGGAAGGACCAAATTTTTCAGGAAGTAAATTACCTACTCTTTCCAAGAGTGTCAAGCGCCCTACTAGATCGCGACCCGAATTGAATGGTGAAAAGATGAGAGAAATCTATTAGTGCGTACAAAGTACAATTAATTTAAAGTTAAAGGAGAAATACGTTTAAAATAAATATGAATTTAAAGTAAAGAGATTTAGAATTTAATTTGCATATATGAAATAGAAAAAGAAAGCAGTAAGAGAAAAATATCGTGAATTTTAAAGTTAAAATAAGAAAGAAAATTTATTATAATCATGTTGTGGTTTTTAGTAATGATAATTAGAAATAGTATGGCAACCATAGAGATTACGTCGGGAATTTATCTAGAACGATTACCAAATGTAACTTTTTACCAGTCTACACACCAAATCATCTTTCGTGTGCAAAAATCACCAAGTGTTCTAGACAAACTCTTGTGTATAGTTGACGCCAAATTAAGTTGGGTATGACTCATTCTTAAAATTGTACGGATTAAGATTCAAGCAACGTCAGTCGTATCTAAATCGACGTTTAGTTAATATGCGCACGGGTAGATGTCTCTGTAACTTGCTAACTTCAAGTTCAACTTTTAATTTGTCAAACTTCGAGGTTGCGTAAATTGATATGCGGATTCAAAACTAAAAGCATTGAATAAAGGGTTTTTATGAAACATAACCTATACTTAATGTAGGTAAACACACCGATCCTCTACATTCATTTATAACATGCATTTCAGGCAGGAAACTGGCAAATCAAATGCGTTATTCTAAAATGTTGAACATTAGCTACGAGCAAGGTTTCACAATATCGTATACAGTCCTCTTCTTTCGGCAAAGGTGATTTTTGGTAACGAGACATCTGTATCTGCATCCAGTACCCCTACCTATCGCGCTTCAGCTTATGAGATTATGTCAAGAAGAAGTCAAAAACAATTTCGTTATACTTACAACAGATGTTCAATTCTAGTTTAGATGCTACAAGATAATTAGAAAGTTACGTCAATGGTTTTCACAATTTCATATGCAAGTTGTTACAATTTACCGATTAAACTCTCCACAAGTGCAAAGTAGTTTTTAAAAAAAACTGTTTCTTGATGTATTGAAGTAAAAACGTAAAAATAAATGTTAACCAGGTAAACACGAAATGACAGAAGAAAAGCTGAGGAATGCGCGACTTACGTTTTAGACCGCTCGTATGAATTGTACAGCAGACTCAAGTTACGAATTTCTATCCTTCTCTGGCAACCGTCAATCTGTGTGAGAGGCACCGTTCCATACGCTAATTATTGCAATACATAGCGATGAGTCATACCCAACTTAATTTGGCGTCAACTATAGACCAGTATTTTGTAAAAATAATCCATATATATGTGATCAATTAGCTAACAAAATGAATTATTTCCGTTACTTGCAAAACAACCCTTCAACGATAGAGGAAAATATTTTGCTAAACGATGGAGAGTTGTTTGATTTCCAGTTAGTCACACGACATCACTTAAATAAGATATTTGCTAGTGATTACGAAATTAATATTCTCATAAATAAATTTAGTAAGAGAGATCATGTAAATGTACGAGAAATAACTTTTCCAAACTTTATGTATGATATAAATAATTTAACTTGCACGGGTCAGAAACTAAAAGAATTAGTCATATTAGAACTGACACAATTGTATGAGAGTACGAGATCACTCGTTATGATGTGCCAATTAAAACGCTTAGCTATAGATTTTATGCCTTTAGAATCGTTAGGAAAAATTTTAAATGACTTAGATAGAGTCAGAACTAACCACGACTATATTCTAGCTTTAGGATCAATGACTCAACTATACACGATGCCCTTAGTTGAATGTATCATGTCGCAAACAACCCTTTTGGTCGGAATCCACGTACCGCTACTAAAAAGAGAACTTCGAGGACTTCAAATGATTCAAGCCCTGACACCCACCGACGCATGGGATAACTACACCTGTTCCGTGAATATACCCGTGTTGAATACTGCAATACAATTCCGTATGGAAGGTATTCGTGCCTATCTGCGATCCAATCAGAGAAGAATTGTGTTTCGTAAGCGATTACCGGAATGAAGAAAATCTCGGTGTCGCGTGCATTCAACAAACCCTGAGAGGAGGTTCGTTTAAGCAGCTCGCAACGAACTGCCCACTCACCTGTCGAGATACTGGTAACGACATACAACTGGTCACACCTGTCAGCAGTCACCGCACCTTCGTCACACATCAAAGGAAATCTCTACGACTCAAATGTGGTGAAGTCATGCATACTCTGGAAAACAAAGAACGAGTAGGCGCTCTTAGCATTGATGTTCCATGCAACTGTCACTTGGAGGAAGAAGGCAATCCGATTAGCCCAGCGTACCCTTGGCTACCATCAACTAGTACCTGCAGCATGGAGTATCTATAGCGACCTATCACTACCCAAATGGGGAGACAAGCCATTATACTTCGACAACCTCGAAACGTGTCTCAATCATCAATGGATAGAACAACAATTTTCGAATAACAAGATAGCAGTGCTACAAGTCACTCGCGAATTAATATTTTCGTGTGTTCTCATAAAACTTCACTTAGAAACTAAAAGAATTCGACAGAACTAACGAACTTTGCGGTAGTGTGGTTTCCGAAACAAAAAAAACTTTTAAGACATTACTACTTTTAATTTTATGTACCTAACTGTGATATTTTTTAAACTATTATTTTTTGTCTATTCTAGATTTAGTTTACTCAATGTAAGGACCACTTAGCTTTTAGATACATTATTTTTATTATTGTACTTAGGCTAAGTTAGATATAGAGATGAACGCACTGTTCACTGCCTGACATCCTGCATCGGTACAACTCGGATTACTCTTGCGTTTGTTTGGAGATATCTTTTGCTTGATTCCTTGAGGTCAAGTAATTTTTATGAGGGAGGCAAATGTCACACAGTAGAAAATCAATGAATGAATTTATCCAATTTTTAATGACTACATAATCATAAATCGAGAACAAATTACTCATAGAGCTAAACTCAAAATCTAAGTAGTCATCTTCCTCCCGATATTGGTAAAATAGCCTTGTACTTTGCAATCACGTAATTGTGTAATGAGAATTTCTAACCACTGACAGGATTCTGTGGATGATCAAGGTTCTGCACGTGTTAGCACTTTGCTCACCATAGGGTGTTGTCAGGAGGATATGACGCCAAGAGTATGAAGAGTTAAATAGCAGATGAGGATTGCAAAGAGGACAGTCGGTAGTACAATAGTTATAATCTTCCTACCAGAATGCAAAGGTAAGATTTTGTAATATTTGTTTCAGCTTACACATAAACAATAAACCTTTAAACAATGCAATTCTCTATCTGTAACTACGATCCCCAATTATAGTCACGTCACCTCTCGTATGCATAGAGCTACCCCCTAGACGTGACACTATTCTGTTAAGTGCCTCTGCCAAATTCACAGATGTGTGGCTTTCAGGAAAAATTGCACACTCTAGAAGCACTGAGTGAGGTTTGAAATCTGCATCAATAAAATGCGCAGTTACCGCCATAAAATGTCGCTACCCCCTAGACGTGACAATAAGGGATGTATGCATCCGCGATTTTCTCCTATAAAAGACAATTTCTAATGTTAATTATAAAAGTCGCGCTTACATACAATGGCACTAAACTTGACAAAATGCCAGTGGTGGCATCTGCAGGTGCATCAATTTGTGCCTGAGGTAAGAAAACTATATTATGCTTTTGAAAATTAATAATAATTTATAATTTTGCAGGGGTATATTTTATTGTGCCCGTGTGCTCACAATATCCACTATAATGAGCACAGAGATCTACTCCTATACATGGAACCTTTCTTCGGGGATTATTTTAGATGGGTGTTTACGAACAGTTTGCCCGAAGGAAGTGGTGTTGCCTACTGCAGAGTAGGACCGTAAGTTGTTGTTTTGTGCTTGTTGTTGAAAATTATTTACAATTGTAATTCTCTTTAGCGTGTCTTAGTTATAAATGTAATATAATTCTTTTTCCAGACGAATCTGCATCTACAATGTACAGAATTGTATATAGGAATAGGAAGGAGAAGCAACGACGACGACGACGACGATTCTGCAATATATGGAGAAATTGTTTATAGGAATGTTATAACAATTTATTAAATAAAATTGTGTATAAGTATTCGTACACATTTATTAATTATATTTCATGTCTCGACCTTCGAAGATCAAAGTGGTAGTCTCTCTCTTTCCTGCTTGAACCACGCGATTTAAAAACAAAAAGCGGGGGAACGCGTCCTCTCTCCCAGGGTACACACGCTTTATATTCACTTCTCTTTTTCGTGCGCTGCGAACCAGTCGCGCTTGTTTTGTGTGCAATATGGGAAAACATAAAAGAAAAAACGAGGAAGACTTCAAACAACTTAAGAAGCGTCTCAAGATTTTAGAAGGTCAGGTGAAAAAGAGGAAACGAGTTCTAGTTATGGCCTCCGATTCATCAGATCAAGGTAATTTTGTTTGTGCAGGCGGTTACTGAGTAACCTAACCTATACATGCACGCCTTCGACTGATCGCCTTGCTGAAGTTAGGCGATGCTGCAGTTCTATATTTAGAACGGGCCTGATATTGTTTGAAACAGTTATCAGAGGGTTCGTGGAACCTATTAACCTTGTTGCTTTTGCACCATTCTGGTTGCATATACGAAATTATGTGATTGAATCACAATAATTTTGTTATAAAAGGAATTTTCCTTTTTCGAGGTTACGTACGTGATACACGCACACTCGTAAATTATGTGATTGAATCACTACCTTTTAATGCTTTAAGTTTGGCTCTAATTTTGGTCTTTTGCTTTAGAGGATTCTGTTCATGATCATGGGGAAAATTTCCATACGGAATTAATTTCGAATGATCAAGAAAACGTTGATCCTCAATTATTATCTCTACTGGGAGAAAAATCTTGCACAATTTCGGATGTCGGTGAGGCGATTCACCCCGAATTGGTTCAAAGATGGGAAGACCTTATAAAATCTGGATTAAACGAAGAGATAATTAACGACCTGGTTACTAAATATCCTTTTCCGGAAAATTGTGTATTTATTAAACCGCCAGTACTTAACCCCGAAATAAAAGCCACAATTTCTGAGGCAGCTGTGGCTAGGGACTCTCGCTTGCTTAATAACCAGAAACAACTATGCGCTGCATGGATTGCTAACGCGAAGGTTCTTAACAAGATTTTAACCTCCGACAACATTCCAGTAGAATCAAGAATGTTTATGGCGGAGAATATTAGCAATTCATCACGGCTGTTATCGAACCAAATTTTTGTACAAACAAATATTCGACGATCTTTAGTTTCAAACCTACTGAACGAGAAACTTAAAGACACTCTTCAAAATTCAGTGTCCGACAACCTCTTATTTGGCAGTACTCTGATAGAGGATATAAAATGTGCCAAAGAAGTTCAGAAATCGAAATCTGACCTTCAAAAACCCCCCAAGGTGAGAGATAAAACAAAACATTTAAACTGGAAGGGTCCAGCTGCGAATTCTCAGAGAAGCTTTCCCCAGGCTGGACCAATGAGAACCAGGGTTGCTTCTCAAACCGAGAGATATCGGGATCTCCGAAAAATGGCCTTTCCTCAAAAGAAAATGGGCAGCAGACATCCATTTGTACGAGAGAAAAACCAAGACAAGACAAGACAGACTTATCAACGCAGGAGCAGATTTTATTAGAAAATGAGGTAAATTTACCTTTTGCTGGTAGACTGAAACATTTTATAGGTAACTGGCAAAATATTACTAATGACAAACGGATTTTGTCTTGGTTAAATGGGTATAAAATTCCTTTATTTGGAAATATTAAACAATCATGGCCTTTTAAAGTACCAAATTGGTCTACTCAACAAAAATCAAAGCTTCACGTTTGCATTTACGAAATGTTATCTTTGGGAGCGGTGTCGAAATGCTCGCCCCTGCAGGGCCAGTTTATTTCACCATTCTTTCTAACACCTAAACCAGATGGTTCGTTTAGGTTTATATTAAATTTAAAACATTTAAATTCATATATCAATAATGACCACTTTAAGCTAGAAGATTATAAAACGGCATTAAATTTGATTAACGAAGGGGATCATTTTATCAAACTAGACTTGGAGAAAGCTTACTTTCTCATACCGTTGGCCACTGAAAGTAAAAAATATGTAAGATTTGTTTTTGACGATGAACTTTTTCAATTTAATTGCCTCCCATTTGGACTGTGTACAGCTCCATATGTTTTACGAAACTGTTAAAACCAGTGTTGGCAAAATTAAGACTACAAAATTTATTGTCTGTAGTCTATTTAGATGACTTTTTATTGTTAGGTAGTTCTTCTGGAGAGTGCTTATCGAATTTTAAATTAACGTCTGCTTTACTCGAAAGTTTAGGGTTTGTAATAAATTTTAGCAAGAGCGATATCATTCCTAAAACAAAATGTACCTTTCTAGGATTTGTTTTTAATTCGTCAAATATGACTATTTATATTCCAGATATTAAGAAGCAAAATTTGAAGAAGTTAATTTCCTTATTTGTTAGTAAGAAGCAATGTAAGATTCGTGAATTTTCTACGCTTGTAGGAACACTAATATCAATTTGTCCAGCTATACGTTACTCTTGGCTTTTTACTAAAAGATTAGAAAGGGAAAAATTCCTTGCCTTAAAAGGAAATAATTATAACTTTGATAAAACAATGTCTTTAACTAAAGAGGTGAAAATTGATCTTCTGTGGTGGTTAAAAAACATTTCGGTTGGGTATAATCATATAAGAGATACGGAATACAAGTTAGAGATTTTTTCAGACGCCTCTAGGTCAGGCTGGGGAGCTGTTTCTAATAATAAAACTGTTCACGGGTTTTGGTCGGAAAAAGAACTTTCTCATCACATAAATTATTTAGAACTTTTGGCAGCCTTTCATGGACTGAAAAAGTTTGCTAAAAATTTTAAATTTTGTAATTGTCTATTAAGAATTGATAACACAACAGCGGTGGCATATATAAACAAAATGGGAAGCATTCAATATCCCCATTTAAACAAATTGACTCGTGAAATGTGGCTTTGGTGTAAACAAAGACACATTTTTATAAAGGCTGTATACATTAAATCAGCAGACAATGTTACCGCTGATCGTGAATCTAGAAGAGAAAACCCAAATATAGAGTTTATGTTAGCAGATTGGGCTTTTGAAGCAATTGTTGATAAATTAGGAACACCAGAAATCGATTTGTTTGCAAGCAAATCAAATAATAAATGTGTTAATTTTGTAACAATTACAACTGATGCTTTTACCATTTCATGGGAAAAAATATTTTTCTATATATTTCCCCCATTCTCAAATAGAGTTATTATTAGAATATTGCAAAAAATAAAAAAGGAAAAAGCAAGAGGCATTGTGGTAGTCCCACTTTGGCCAACACAAGCATGGTTCCCATTATTTCAATCTCTACTTGAGACAGCTCCAATGTATCTTGAAGCAGATACTAATTCTTTTCATTTTTCCAATCGGACGATTCACCCATTGGCAAAATCAACTACACTACTGGCCGCAACTTTGTCAGCAAGATTTTCGAAAACAGGAAAATACCAAAACCTTCAATTAACATTATGATTTCATCACTAAGTACAGCTACCATAAACCAATATTCAGTACATTGGAAAAACTGGGTATCTTTTTGTTGTGCACAGAAGACAACTCCATTTAACAACAAGGTTAACATGATCATAGAGTTTTTAACAAACATGTTTCATAATAATAGTTCATACACTTCTATTAACACAGCTAGATCGGCTATATCACTCATTACAGGAAACACACTTGGAGAACACGAGAATCTGAAAAGATTTATGAAAGGAATTCATAATCTAAGGCCAAGTAAACCTAAATATAATGACACATGGGACCCAAAGATAGTTCTCGAGCATTTGCAAACACTACATCCCAACGACAGTATCTCCTTAGAAATGTTATCATCAAAGTTAATAACCCTGATATTACTGTGCACAGGACACAGATTACAAACATGCTACCATATCAAATTAGATAATATAAAGTTTTCAGATCAAGGTGCTACCATTTACATTACAGATCGTATTAAAACTTCTGGACCAAAGAAAGTACAACCCATTTTAGTGTTACCGTATTTTAATGAAAATCCAAATTTATGTGTGGCAGGAACCTTAAAAAATTATATAGCACGAACAAAAGTTCTTAGAGGAAAAGAAAATCAACTCTTTATTTCTTTCAAACCACCACATAAAGCAGTAACGACTCAGTCTTTAAGTAGATGGGTAAAAATAATATTTGAAAAAAGTGGAATAAATTGTAAATATACACCATATAGCATAAGACATGCATCCACATCTTTAGCTAAAAGACAAGGAGTTCCTTTAGAGCTAATTAAAAAAGTGGCGGGCTGGTCACCAATCTCCACCACATTCTCAAAATTTTACGACAGACCTTTAGATAATAACGATAGATTTGCAAAAACCGTTTTGTCATCGCAAATGTAACCTTTTACTTATCGTAGATACTAAGTTTAGTTTTAGTTATAAAACTAGCGATATTGTCTTTGGTTAATTAGGGTAGGATTTTTCGTTGTGGAATCTTATTATCACACTTAATAAACGTTTTCTCATGTGTTCTGGTATATGTAGCGATTATTTCGGACATAAGCTTATGAACACAATTTTGCACACAAAAGTTAAAACAATTGTCTTATAAACTTTAAACAACTACCCTTTGATCTTCGAAGGTCGAGACATGAAATATAATTATAAGATCAAATGAACTTACCTGTGAAATTTGATCATAATTATATGAAGGTCTCGACCGAGAAGTCACTCCCACCCAATCCACACCGAGAAGCGACAATTGTTTCCTTGATAAGTTTGAATATAAAGCGTGTGTACCCTGGGAGAGAGGACGCGTTCCCCCGCTTTTTGTTTTTAAATCGCGTGGTTCAAGCAGGAAAGAGAGAGACTACCACTTTGATCTTCGAAGGTCGAGACCTTCATATAATTATGATCAAATTTCACAGGTAAGTTCATTTGATCTTATAATTATAACTTAACCTAAAGAAATCACACATACAATAAAAAAAACAAGGAATACAAATAATTTTTACAGATAAAAAACTATCCTAATCAAAGTTCAGTCAATGAATAATTAACTTAACATAATTTAAATAAAGAAATCCCATGTGACTGCATTGATTACACTGCAAATAATTTTTACATTTGGTGTCAAACCTAATTTAAACAAACCTTGTAAAGTCACTGCAGTGTATTCTTCCTTCTTGCAAATCGCTGTTGAGCAGCTCGAAACCAGTCAATGCCTGCATGCTCGATCACACCATCCTTTGCGTAAGGGAAAGAATCATGAACTGTTTCTATGGAATAAATATATGCCTTTATAAAATATAAATTTACAAGACCTTTTTCTCTTACCAATCAGAATTTTAATCAGTGCAAGGTTTTCAGTTCTATAATTTTGTTTTCGACCCTTCCAGGAACAAATTGTTGCCAGTTCAAAATCGAACATTTTAGAAAGCATTTTAAAAACAGAACTCCGCTCCGTAGATTCGACGAGGCGCTTCAAAATATGTTTCTTCAAAGAAATGGGACATTACCTACTTTTACTACAACTATTAGAGAAGCTTACCAATGCTGCCAATTGGGTCTCGTCTTTTAAAGTTTCTTCAAAATGTTCCAATTCTTCAACTGTTTTAAGGGGAAGTTCGATGGATAAAACTGGAATATCTTGTTGGAATGGTAAAATGTTTAATTTTTTTTCTATACCATTTAATTTATCTGTGTGACTTTGCAATAATAAATCACACTTTACCAATTGATCATTGATGCTTCGAAGTAAGTTGAACACTGTAAATAATACATGTGTACATATAGTTATTACTGGGAAAGCCATACCTGCTTGGATCGATACCATACTATCTGCTGATGATGCGGGAGAGTCAACTTCGGCACTTGGATTGACTATACCAATCTCTTCATGAGGCGGAATTATGACTACAGGTACATCCTCTAATGATATACCCGCCTCATCCAACTTATTCTGATTTGGAAGAGGTAATGGTGATAACGAATCTTAGTCCTCTTCGTAATGGAAATCACTGTCCCTTCTACTAGTGCAGTGTTTCCTTAGAGCCTTATTGTTTCTGTGTGTCACATTTTCTTCCACTTCAGATGAAGATTTATATTGCAATAGTTTGGTTTCTTTTGCCTTGGCCTGTTCATAAGTATCTATATAATGTAAGCACAGAGTTGTATATTACATAAATGATTGAGAAAGTTTATTACCATAGTATCCCACGACCTGTACCGCTGTTACACTCCATAACTTATCGGGATTTCTTTTAAGCCGTAACGATTTTTGGTACTCCTTGCTTGTAGGATGGCTTAAGTAAGTTATAGTCTCCTTTTCATGAAGCCATTTTTTCAAAACAATTGTATATTGCTCTCCATCATCCGATACTGGTAAGTCATATACAATTGCATAACTATTTAACTAAAAAAATAAATTACATATATGGATAAACATTGCTGGGTATTACATTTTTTAACTTTACATCTGGTGCAACAAAGGCAACACTTGAAAAAAATTTCCATCATGAGAAGGAACTTTAATGCACTTGCAAGCCACATCTTTATACGAAAATGTTTCTTCTACATCTAACATATAATTACATTCAATTGTACGTATCTTTAAGATACTAGGATACAGGTTGTCAATTTCAGAATTTTTTATTTTTCGTCCCTTGATCACTGTTGAACTTATAATATTAGTGATTTGCAGTATTTCATTGGATCTCAATAACACACAATTGTTTCTTAAACTAGTATCCAGTTGTATATCTTTCTCCATAAACAGGATATCGTTTTTTTCAGAATGCAATAGATATGGGTAAATAATTTTTGTTACAGGTGTGAAATTTTGTCTTTGTTCAAATACCCTATTGGAAATCTGTTCTAAGGGTTTACCAGAAATTTTCATTACGTTTTTAATTTCATGCAAATAATTCTCAAATGGAAAGGCGCTGAAATGATCCACACAACCAAATTTCTTTACATCGTCTACTAAATGGATAAGATTATGCACATTATATGTAATGTGTTCTTCACCAAAAAAATGTTTATAATTTTCTACGAAAAAAATTAGTAAGCTTTGTGGATAATCATAATCCTGGTGTGCCATTTTTGGTGATGCCAAGATTCGCATGGCAATATGCAAAGCCATAAAGTGTTTCAGCTGTGATTTTCTTAAATAAGGCTTTAAAATGGATGTTCCAGTGTACAACAGAAAAAAACGCAGTGCAGTAGCTTTCCAAAAATCAAGCTCTTGTAATGACCTAGGTAGCCTTGAAAACTCCACTGGAACATATTGTTTTATAGATTCAATATGTACGTCTATTAAACTCAATTCGGCCTGTTTAAGGCGTACATTAAAAAAGGTCCATATACGTAAAATTTAAGTACCCGTTTTAAAACGCCAATACAAACAAGATGCATATAATCTAAACCCACTTGTGTCACTAATCCAATATGTAACTCTTTTAATATAGTATCTCCCTTATGATAATCTTCATCCACCTTATTTTCAAATTCTTGGTCTGTACGTAGCTTCGCATCTACACACTGATATGTCATACGATTCTTAATAAAACTGCCTTCCACGTGGCATTTATTGCAACCAAAATATGCGTTGTGCCCTTTCACATTTAATATCAGTGCTTTTGCAGGTGCATCACAAATAATTATACTAACTGCAATTGTAGCCTTTATATCTCCCTCTGAAATTCCAGTTTCCTTCAACAACTTCATTTCTTTCACAAAATATTGTAAAAAGAGGTTACAGGACTCTGGTTTCTTTTTGCCGCAATAAACTCCTACTATTATAGGTTCATTAAATTCAACATTTATAATCGACACCAAAATTAGCCAAAATTGCACTGTGGAGCTTTTACTTAATGGCAATCCATCTATATTTAATTTTAATTGTAAGTCCATATTAAGTACAGATACACCATGCCTTTTAAGTGTGTGTAAGATACCCGATTTAACACCAAAATGCACGTATTTACCAGGAGGAACATCTTCAAATTTGAAAAATCCTGGTCTTGGTGTCCGCAGTAATGTTCGACCATCGTTTGGTAATTCAGGAATGCGAGGCTTTAAAATTGCTAAAAGTTTATTTACAGCAGATTGGGAAATGTGGTTTTCGATAGCCCAAATAGCAAGTTGTTGTTTTGTGGAGGTCTCGGTTGATCTACCAGTATGCACATTAATAATTGCATTTGTTTCGACATTTTGATCCCTATTATCAACTGCACCAGTCATGGTTATTGTGTGGTAGCCAGAAGTTGAAGGGATTGTTGGGGGGTCCACTTGCATAACAGAACATGATGCAATTGGAGAAGTTTGAACGTCAGTAGGTATTGCTTCCATAATATTACCCACTGCGCAGTTGGTTTCTATTAATTTAACATTAGAAGAGAAATTTTTTTCTAGACAATCTTTTTTCATGTTTTGTACGATACGCCTAAAGTGTCGTTTGGTTATGTTTCCCAAAGGCTTTCGCTTTACACCCTAGAATAAATCACAGTCTAGAATGAATCATAAAATTGGAAATTTAATCTGAAAATTTGTATATTTCATATCTAAACTTTTTCTAATTTTCTCTTTATTCATAGCGGCTTTCATCAGAAACTATTTGCAGCATTTTACAAAAAAAATCAAGATAAAAATTTGTATTTAGGCTTTATTTTATATTAAAAACACTTTTCTTTAATAAAATTTTTCCCTAAAATAATAAATACGCGAACTTGTCTCTTGAGAGGTTTTCATGTTTCCTTAATTTACGAACACCCTGTACGTTCAATCCAAAATCTTTGAACATCAATCTTATTCTTAAAACAAGAAAAACTTTGTATAGGTAATGAATAACTTTTTGTCGTAAAATCAATAATAAATATTTTTTTCCTGTTGTCAAGTCAATCCGGGGACATACTGTATGTAACACCCTGTACATGAAGTTTCATTTACATACCTTCATTAATAAGAAATTCGGCGTTGTGCATGCACACATCCAAATTTTCAAGGTTGTATTACGTTTTCTTTTATTTGAAGTGCAGACATTCAAAATTTCATTTAAATATCTTCATAAATAAGAGAGGCATTGCGCTAAATGTGCCATCTACAAAATCAATATGAGCGTTTACGCATTTAGTTATAAAACCTAACAGAAAAAATTAGTACAATAGGATATCCGCATTAAAACCAGAAAGCTTCAAAAATGGGCTTGACAGGCAAACGATTTGTTTAAAAATTGATAGGGTTCTTCTCATGAGGTAGAAATTATGGGTATGTCAAATTTGGTTTAGATCTGACTTACTGTCTGTCTTGTAGTGTTTACAAACAGACAGACAGACAAACATGACAAAAAATCAATACCATATTCTGTCAACTATGTTGTAAGCTGCCTTGTAAAAAAATGACAATTATAATACCCATACAGAGTCCCAACCAAAATTTGCACCCTTCTAAAACACTACACGACAAGCCCTATAATTAGCTTAATTTATTTCTCGGTATAAGTAATCGAACGATTGAAGAAATGGAAATACTGTTGTGGAAGTAGGTAATGAAAACTTCTTCCAAATTATACGTCATTTATTAGTACCCCTAGCAGGATTAAAGTTGTAAGAATTTATTATTGTAGAGAAATTGGTTCCCCTCTCCTCCATTATAAAATTGACCCCGTTTTAGATCTTCGTCAAAACATTTATTGCACAGTGTTTTAGGAAAGTGGAAATTTAATGGTTACTCTTTTCATAGTTTCATTTGGGTGTAGCCGAGGGTGTAGCTTTCTCAATACGCATAATTATGCTGCAAATTGCATCAAGGTTAGGGTAGAGGTATAGCTATTATATCTATCTTTCAGCAATTATACCGCTGATGGTAATACGACTAATACGTATATCGTTCGTTTACTTAAGGTAAGAGCGCTATAGTTGAAGTTTTTATAAAGCAACGATTCAAACTTGGTGGTTGTAAGTTCTGGAATAATTCCAGTTAAATACAAAAGCAAGTACAAATGAAAATAAGCTACACACCCACTGCACCCACCGACCTTATTTTTATGTCATAATTCAAAAATGGCAATAATAAAAACATACTTACCGACATGATATTATAATATACAATGAAGTATGCACTGCCCAAGTTGAAACAAATTCAAAAATAGTTCACTTTTACTAAAAAAATTATCAAAGTCCTCGTTTGAGATCGAAGGGACTTCAGCGCATTTTTGTGTGGCAGATCAGTATTCTATTAGCCACTTTCGATTCAACCATCAATAACAGATCTTGTCGAAGGCTACTACATTCACTAACCGCTTCCCACTTTCCTCGTGCACCCGCAATTCGCTTTTAAAGATTTGACTCCACCATCAGGAAGATCGTGTCGGGGGCTACCACATTCCCTTTGACGGTACCCACTTCCGACGTTCGGTTCACCCGCAATTCGCGTTTGAAGATTTGACTCCACCATCAGGAAGATCGTGTCGGGGGCTACCACATTCCCTTTGACGGTACCCCTTTCCGACGTCCCGTTTACCCGCAATTCGTGTTTGAAGATTTGACTCCACCATCAGGAAGATCGTGTCGGGGGCTACCACATTCCCTTTGACGGTACCCACTTCCGACGTCCCGTTCGCCCGCAATTCGCGATTGAAGATTTGACACCACCATCAGTGAGATCGTGTCGCGGGCTACCACATTCCCTTTTACGGTACCCACTTCCGACGCCCCGTTCACCCGCAATTCGCGTTTGAAGATTTGACTCCACCATCAGGAAGATCGTGTCGGGGGCTACCACATTCCCTTTGACGGTACCTCCTTCCGACGTCCCGTTCACCAGCAATTCGCGTTTGAAGATTTGACTCCACCATCAGGAAAATCGTGTCGGGGGCTACCACATTTCATTTGACGGTACCCCCTTCCGACGTCCCGTTCACCCGCAATTCGCGTTTGAAGATTTGACTCCACCATCAGGAAGATCGTGTCGGGGGCTACCACATTCCCTTTGA